TGGCATAGCCCTCTTCGTTGGGCAAACCACTACCGCAGTCTAGGTAAGCAATAGCATTGCACTCCTGTTGGGCAAGCCAACAATATACTAGCTCAGCCATGGCATAGCACTCTTCGTTGGGCAAACCAGTGAGTACCGTAGGGTAAACCATATATATAGGCAAGTTCCGAGTGAAGAACTATTGTTTAAAAGGAGTAATTACTCTGTCTATACCATGATATCTCATATTATGGGGTTCTATGGCAGGTTGGTCATTCGATACGATAAGATCGAGCAAGGCCGTCGGCAATGTTTTTCACCTGCCCACATGTTTGCTGCCAGCTCCCCCACAGGCGGCACATTGTGCCATCAGGATTTCACAAGGTCCAACTGACCCTAGTCAACATCTGGAATGCGCGTCTTCTGACGCAACCGACGAGGAGGAGGCTTGTCTTCGCACACCCCGCACAAGCAAACATCAGAGGTCTTAAGAGTGGAAATCTCACGAGATTTCTTGACAATGGCATCTAGAACCAGTGGCGTTGCTTTGCAAGCCGCAATGCACTTGCCCGTTCCGAGCTTATGACACGCCTGCATGCATGAATCACACAAGCTCCCACTGACCACTCTGGTCTTCATATTCCAACGGTAGCCCCATCCGCAGCTATGCTTGCGGCGGGAACAGAAGGAACACTCGTGAGATGTGCTATGAAGATGTCCACTTGGGTTCCCTTTATTGGAGCCAAGTGTTGCTCTTGCCAACTTCAACTTCTCAAAGGTCCCAGGGCTGAGGGGTAAGCCTTTCTCTGCGGAAATGGCAGAATCCAGGGGCCGCTTTTTTGGCCGGTGTACTGGGAACAACTTCTGGCACAATGTCAATGCTCTCACTGACTTTGCCGGCGTTGCCAACTGCACCGTTTCCGTCTAACATCTCAGTCTCTGCCACTCCACACGCTTCCACGACATCTGCTGCTGGGCCTGCAGGGAACTGCAGGGAAGGGAGGTGGACATGAAGCAAACAGGGGTGCAGGACAGGCTCTATCAATTAGGCAAAACCTTGAGAAACGTTCAATGCCCTCAAAAAATGCTACAACAGGCTTGCCAAAGCAGAAGCCATGCCTTCATTTTCATGTTCCGCTCGCAGGTCTTGCTTGGCATCAGCTGTCTTGGGCTCATTCATGTCAGATTGTACTGCGTCACCTTCAGTTTCACTTCCGAACGTGCACAGCATGCACATGAAAAGAAAAAGAAGTCAGGTGATGGGTGTCTCTAGGCAGCCAGTATAGCCTCTGGAATGCAAAAAGTAAGGGGTGTCCAACAATAATCTCTGGAATGACACGACAATTTTTTCGGACCTTGCCTGACTGACCAAAGCTAGAAAGCTGCTGATCACCGTTCCCCTGCCCCATCTTCAAAAGGTCTTCTGCTTTGCCCACAGTGTCTGACCCACACGCATTGCCCACAATGCTCTCAGGCTTCGGCGTCACAGCATCCTTCAGTGGAGAAAGCGCTGGACGAAGTCTACATATGGGCCGAGCCAACAGAAAGATGCTCAAAGATAGGAAAACAGAATTGAGCCGAGTTTCCTCTGAAAAGCCATGCTCTTTGGCCTGCTTCTTACTTTTGTATTGCTTGGTCTTGCCCTTCTCATCTGTCTTAATGTAGACCCCTGGGGTCAAAAAGGAGTTTGTTTCATCGGATAGCTGACAGCCATGGTTGCTAAGTCCGTTCTCGGTACTTGTTTAATGATGGCTTTTTCATTGTCTCATGATGGTTCTGTCAAAGCATCCAAAGAATTTCAATGTCTGCAGGCAAGAAGCAGTACTTGCGATCACTGCTGATCAGCTCACGCTGCTCAACCCGCCACATGGCGTGCGTCACCCCCCCCCTTTAAGCTCAAAAAAGCTTCGCCACACAATGAACACACATGCTGAAGACGTGTACTAGACTGGCGTTGTTCTGTTAGAGACCGTCATGTATGTATACATAGGGGTATCGTTTTTTATCAGTCCCCTATCGTTTTTCAAGGAAAATCACAAAAGCAACACAGAGATGAAACGTCCCTTACTAAAGTAATTGATGATAATTTTGAGGTTGCCTCATATACAGGCCTAGGGTGCCAATCGGAGGTTTCTGAGGTGCCTACAATCTTGGTACATGACTAGTAGATAAACAAAACACAAGGTTTTTGGTACTCTCATTCATGACGGTTCCGGTTTCTGCAACACAATGTTGACGTGCCTGGCGACTAGCAAATCGCTTCAGCAATGTCTTCGGCAAATCGCTGTCCACTGTATTGGATCGAAGTCGGCAACACCATGTACGTGACCAACGAAGCCTCACAGATTTAGTTTAGTGGAACACCAACTCCACACGGCTTCCAACAGCCTGCTTCAGCAACACTCAAACATGCCAGCTCGTTCTGGTTGGCAGGTTCTGGGCTGGATTCTTCTTGGTGATAGCATGGCCAGCGGTTCTTGGCTGTTGCCCCTGACGGTAACGCTTGAACCGGACTTCCATTTGGAGGCTGAGGTCCCAGGACCTGGGAACGCATGCCTTCTGGCTTCACTGTGGTGGCCTGCAGCCCCACCTTCACAACCTTCACTCCCACGGAATGATCTGTTCAAAGACTACGCAGCGTCCGGGTCCGCCTCTACACCAGACATTCTACACGAAACTGCCTTCCCGTACGTCCTCAGGCTTGCTCGGAACGCTGTGCCGTCGTCTTCTGCGCCAGGAAGTGGAGAAATCCACCTGTCTAGAATACAACCCGAACCCTTTCATTCTTAGAGTCTCCTCCACTATCTCAGTCATTGAAGTGCTTCAATACTCCCGCGCACCTTTTCCCACACGGCTCTTGTTGACCAATCCCAAAAATTAGTGAAACGTTATCCACTTTTCCTGGGCAGCCGTTGGTGACCTCTTCCCCTTCTCCCTCTCTACTCTCCGCTTGGTCCCCAGCATCTGCAAGTGCCGTTGACACAGCTCCGGCGCTGCTCGGGTCTGCGCGCGCGGGACCATTTTTTTGCAGGGCTCAAAGCAATGGCGTTCCACACCATGCATGGAATGTTTGCGTCTGGAGATTTGGGTCGTCAATGGGGTGGCATTTTTCTGACATCCGTCACACAGTGACGATGGAACCCTGGCTCTCGCGGAACCTTCGCTCCAAAAGGTGTGGCGACCCAAATTCAGTCGCCCCAAAGAAAAGCCTTGCAGAAGCTGACCCAATCGAAATGGTACTGTACAATACCAGCCATGGGTATACTGTCTAATTTCATGACTCACCATCTGGAATTCGGTGCTTCTAGCAGATTCTGTTTAAACAGTGACAGTGCATATCAAATAGATAAGCTCAAGGTGTCCAACCCAAACCGCCAAGGTGTCAGTGCGTTGCTTCTGCACCCGCTTTCGTGCCTGCTTCGGCATCTTGGCCAAGGTCTGAGATCCCCGGGCGACCGATTCGCCTTCGCCGGAGCGAGATCGGGCATCGACCAGCGACAGATCTGCAGTCTGATCAGTTGCAAGACCTACAGTAATACGGATCCACGGATCCACCGAAGCGAAGGGTATGACCGTGATGACTGGGCCCGATGGGGGAGGGCGCCGACATGAAGAATCTCCAGAATCTCACCTTCTCAGGTTCGGTATGTAGATCCATAGGGAGGTTCACCTGTTTCTATCTCTTCGCTTTAGTGGGGAAATGAATCTCCAAAAAAACTTTATGTTTAAGCTTATCCCCTGGGTAGGTCGAAGAATGCTGGGACGAAGATATCACTCCCAACATGACCACAACGGGTGAATGGGGTGGCATATATTCCAAACATGGAGTGTCTGTGACTTGGAAGTGGACCACACTACATGTTTGTACAGGAGAATGGTCTTCCCAGTGGATTTGGGGTCCACCAAATAATCTGTTCGTCAGAGTGTTACCAATACCATCGAGGATCTTTAGATTGGGGACCATGGAGACCCGCTGGGCCTATCATGACCCTTCACCTTGTCTCTTCAAACTTTGGACTTCATCGGTTGATCGACGCTAAGCCGAGCTGGACCTGGTACCACACTCTCACACTGCACCCCCCAATAAGTATCTTATAACTGACCCTGAAACCAAGTGATGTGGTCTTCACACTCGCAGGTGCTTCCATTTTAGGCACCGTTTCACCCCATTGGTCGCGTCGTTCTGACGAAACAGACCGAACCCATCCGACCGGACCCATCCTCCTGCCGCCTGACGCGACCGACGTTGGGACGAAAGCACGGAGCGACCGTAGAGGGTAGGAGGGTAGGAGGGAGGTTCCAAGCGTCACGTTTTCGGGGAACACTGTGGAACATATCGGATAAAGTAGGATAACAAGTTCAAAAACAGAAAGCAAGAACCTGTTTTGTTCAAAGTGACCTTTTGACATCTTGGTTTCAAGTCGCAAAAAGAGGGGCTGGAAAAGCTCTCTTACTGTGACTCCTTTGGAGGTCACTTTGAAGGTCTGTCGGACATGATGGTTCAAATTGGTGATTGGAGACACTGTTATGTAGGTTTGGAGCGTCCAAGTCCCTTCTGACTGAGGTTCGGTACGACTGGATCCCTAGGATTCATGCTTCTCCATTTCTTCAAGGGCTCTTTGAGCCTGGACCAATTACTTCTCGAGGCGACAGTGGTGTGTTCTTCTTTGGGAGAGCGGTTGGTCGGTCGGTGAGCGGGTGAGGCGACGAGCCCCGAAAAGGATCACGTCATGACATCTGACGGCCAAACAGGTGTGAAGTGACTCCACAAAACCCTCATCTACCAGGGCCCCCTTAAAGCCCTGGCCAGGGGTTCGAATTCTAGCTGAAAGGCGATCGGCCGACAAGTGGCCAAAACACAGGACCGTCGTGGTCCAAACCGCGAACGCGCCGCTCAGTTTTCCTAAGCTCGAGCCCCGCCCTTCCGGGGTGACGTGTCAAAGGTTCATGACATGCGACCTCATGCGCACATCCCCCACACTTCCTGAACCTTTGGCTCATTGAAGTGGAGGATATATTACAACCTCATCTTCTGCGTCCCAGGGCCAGTTGTGCTTGCTCGCCAACTTCTTCAACTGGCACACAAAGGCAGCTTCTTGCCCTTCCATCTCCTTGATCTTCTGCTCGAGGATCCGTTTTTTGGACCTTCTTGCCAGCCTCGAACTTCGGATCGTGGATGAGCCGCCAATGCTGTCGCTGAGCGAAGAAATGAAGCAAAATCTTCCGCGCTCCAAACTTCGTCAGCGCATCGCCCAATTGGGCGTTGCCATTCACCCATCGGAGTTGGGTTTTGGCTTTCACAGCCTGAGACACAGCGAGCGTCAGCTCGTATCCTGCCCTGCTATCTCGCAAGCCATGGAGAGAACTCATGTTCCGAGTCATGGCGTCAAAGATCCCCTTGGAATCCATGACCAAGGCACCAGCCACCTCTTGCACCGCCAGGTGAAGATCTCCTCGTCGAAGCTCAACTCCACCAAGCTCTGCCAAGAGCATCCGAACCGCATGGTTCTGGTCTTCTCCAAGCGTAATCGCCTGGACCTCAGCGCCATTCGATCCAAGGCACTGTCTTGGCGTTTTGCCACTCTTCCATTGAACCAGAGCCACCTGCGTCTCGATCCCTTGCAGGATCTCTTTGGGCGCCACGCCCGAGAGGATGCCCAAGGTGCTTGACCTGTCAGGTCTGTTATGCTGGCTTGCATCAGCCCAAGTGATCACGGCCAAGTCCTGGACCTTCTCCACCTGCCATGAAGATGGGAACAAAAGACCTTGTCCAGCGTCTCTCCTCATCTCGCGAATCAGTTTGTTGGTCTTATAGAGAGTCTCAATCGTGCCACGGCTGATCTCACTCAACAAAAGGGAAATCTCCGCCAACAACTGCGGACCAGTTTGAGTGCTCCTCCAACTCATGGTACCAAGTGCTCCACGAAGTTGAGAAACCTCTTGGCCAGTCAGTGGCGTTTGCCTTGCCTTGGACTTATCGATCTCAATCTCCTCCAGCCATTTCAAGGAATAGGCCTCTTGATTCAGAACAATGCTGAAGTCCTTGCCCTGCTTGATCAAACAACCAGCGAAATCAAACTGCTCAGTCTCCCATTTTCCCCATCGGAAGGCCTCGTTCAAAATCTTCTCTCTGCTCATGTAGTAGGCCGACTCGGGGTGACCTGCCAGCAGGAAGTCGTCCACGTGCAATCCAGCAAGTCCCACCAGGACCTTATAGCCGTTGCTGTCGGTCTCAAACAGGGAGAAAAAGCATTTGTCGCCACGGAGCTGAATCCATCCAGAAGCAACCAAGACTTCAACACATCGCTCATACCATTTCCTCGGAGCATGGGCGAGACCATAGAATGCCTGCTGCACACGAAGAGCTCGAAGGTCACCGGGAGGTGCTCCAAAGAGAGCTGACAGCTCTGGCGTCGCCAAGACGTTCAACTCCTCCTTTGCAAGCTCGTGTTGGTCTGCAAGAAAGCAGATGTGACATCACCTGCCTTGACGGTCATCTTCATCGATGCCGCGACCGTCAGCAGCAGGTTCCTCCCCACCTTCGACATTGTTGGGCTCGCAGTCTCAACCTCCGTGAGATTGTGGGCTTGCAAGCCCAATACCACCAAGCGGGCCTTAGCCGACCCATCACCCTTGCGGGTGAGCACCCAGCGCATCTGCATCAGCTGAGCTGGATCTAGGCGGGCATGTTCCTCCTCCGTCAGGTTGCGCAAGGCTCTCGAGATGGAGACTTGCGAGAGCTCCTTTGCCATCGCCAGATCAAACTCCTTCTTCTCACTCAGAGGCAGGCGGTTCCAGTCGATCTCCTTGCCCTTCTCAGCCATTTTCTTGCTCAACCAAATGGCTCCTCGCCGTCTGTTCTTGTTCTTTGCCAACCAGTCGAAGTCATTCTCATCAATGTCCAAGGTGATCGCGATGAAGGTCTCCTTCTCTTCGCTTGCTGCCTCATCATGTTGCGATCCACCATGCTCTCCATCAGGTTGGAGTTATTCAGAACCATCAGATTCTTCATCAGACGGGGTTGAAGAGGTAGAAGAACTCGACGATGAAACTTGCTCCTCACCCTGTGTTGGAGCTCGTCGGCCATCACAGAGGTCATACATAAAAGTCTGGCCCTCACGATCTTGATGGTGCCCATCATGTCCTCCAGGTCGGTCACAGCCAGGGACAGCACATCGATTTGCACCTGATTCCCCACGGAGAGGTAGATTATCCACCACATCAGGTCCTCGCTCCTGAAGTGCTGCTTGCAGTCCCTGTGAAGGTGGTTGCAGGCCATGTTGATGGTCTGTGGATGCTCTTCCAGGTTCATTGGTCATCTCCTCCTCGGTCTCAACCTTCTCCTTGTCAATCTCCTTGTCCGCTTTCCTCTTCTCTCCACGCCGGGCAGGCGTCTTCACCTTCTTAACTGGCTGAGGATCAGGAAGCAGCTCAAAGTGTGTTTCGCCAGTCCACCTGTCAGGCAGGTTCTTGACAATGTCCACAGTGTCCCTGATCACAATGGGTTCACCAGCATCACCACGGTGTAGAGGGCGAACATAGGTAGTCCTCTTGCCAGAGAGTTCATCCAAGTTCACGGGGCAATGCATTGACCTTGCCGGATTAAAGAGTCCGAGCCGCGGAAGATGATGATGTCGAATCAACACCCGTTCACCTCCTTCATGTCGAAGAGACCATGTGTCTGACCTCATTCGCTCAGCAGCCGGCTCCTGCAAGACATCCGTCGGAGTCAGGTCATGCATCTGCTTCTCCTCTGAGGGGACATCACCTGAGACATCAAGATAGTAGCGTCCTTGAAAGGAACGAAGAAGCGTGTCCACCGACACAGGCTGGCGGTACACCGCCGCTCCTTCCATCACTGCCCCAAGTTCTTCACGTCGAGAAACAGGACGGATCTGATTGAGTTTGGCTCTCACCAATGTCGAACCTGAGCTCAGCCAAACAGTAGAACCTTCAAGCAGGATCACTCTCACCGGACCACTCCAATGGCCCTTCACCTTTCCAGGCTTCACTTTCTGCCGCCAGAGCATCACAAGTTGTCCACTCTTGTACTGGGTGACTTTCCGGCCTGTGGTGTTTGCCAGCTTCCCAAAACGATCAGCAGCTCGTTCCTTCTCAAAGGCCAACTTAGCACGCTGCCGCTCCTTCACCAATCGGCCAAAAGCTTTGCCCGGGTCCACACCTTGAAGCAACTGCTCATCATCCAACACACCGCCGCCATGTCCGAAGGCCCACTGGAATGCACTGTATCCACTTGATCCAACATGTGCATTCATCGCTCCAGCCGCCAGAGTGTAGAGGTCGGGGACGGACAGTTTGCTTCCCTCTTTTGCCAAGCGTTCCACCGTGCGCTTTGCAATGCCAATTGCTCGCTCCTCTAGACCCATGATCCAATGTGCTTCTGCAGGGGCAATGCTTAGTCCCACACCAGAACGTCCAAGATGCTCTGTGAAGGCACTTGATGTATAGTACCGAGCTGAATCTGCCAAGACCCAAGTCGGAGCCGGGTATGTCATCACCCACTTGCAAAAAGAGCGAACCACATCTTCTGTCTTTGGCTCCCAATTGCCCTTATACTCCTGAAGGTGGTCAATGAGGGTCAAACCAGATCCACGATCTCGCCAAATGATGAACTTGTTCTTGGTGCCGCTAGCATCCTCATGCTCAAAAACATCAGTGCCAAGGTGCGAAAACACAGGAGGCATCTCGCCTGTGCTTGCCGGTGGTCGAGGTCGTACTTGAGCAGCTTCTCGACATTCAGGACACTCCAAGTTCGAGGCCAGTTCAATCGCCCAGCCAGGAGAACCACGTGCCTTGAGCAACTGCACCAAGTTGGACATACCAGCATGACCACTGGCTCTGTGTACTCTCAGCATCAGCTGCTTGACAGCCTCTAGCTTCTTCCCTGTCGGGGCAGTCTCCAGGTTCAGCTTGTTCCTCGAGAGTGCAAACACCTGCTCCTCATGTCCTCCTCCAGGTATTGGATCTCGAAGATCAGATGAAGAGACCACGTCCTCGGTGATATTGTCATTCTCAAGCAAGTAGGTTTCCACCGATCTCTCCAAAGAGTTCTCCTGTCGCTTCCAGTGATGAGACATGGTCTTGCAAATGTCCTGGCACATCTTTGGAGGATAGTATGCCGATGATTGTGCCGCAGAGCCACGGCAAACAGCATGTTCATGGCTCCTGTCACATCTTTTGTTCAAGGAAAGCCAGAGTTCTCGGCTTGTG